CTGTCACTCCATTTCCAACCAGAGCTGAGGGTCCCTACACGGCCTCCCCGGCGCAGGCACTGTCCCTTCCTTTGGGACAGCCCCACTGGGACAGACCTGGGAGGGGTCCCCTGTGACTGTCTCCCAAGTCCCAGGCATACAGAGAGTATTCTCCATCCTGTCTCTAAGGCAACGAGCAGTCAGGTCCGGGTCCCCCATCGTTCCTCCCCTGCGGGACAGCACGGGGAAACTGCAGGGAGCGCCACAGGGTCCCCTGGTTCTCAGGGTCCCTCTGACACCTCCTATTGAATAAGTCAGACTCCAGACTCAGTCCAGCTGTGAGTGCCCGGGTTCATTTTAGAGTCCCCGAGACACTTGCCTATTTACACACTGGTTATCCCCTTGCCTTCCCTGTCCTCCTGGATCGTTACTTAGGAGTCTTGGGGAGGTCCCCTGCCCTATTTTAAGTCCTGTGTACCAGCACTCCCTGGTTCCCTTCTGGGGTTCAGGACAGTTATGGGTTACCTCATTCTCCAGTGATCCTGCCTCACTCGGTACCCTACCTCTAACCTTTACATCCTGGTGAGTCATCTTGTGAGGTTTCACTGCTCCCTGGCATGGTCCACAGGACCCACCACCCCCTTTTTCCTATGCTGTTCCCCAGATTGGTCCTCATGGGATCCCTTGACTTGGTCCAATGGAGGACTTCTTAGGTCTGTTCCACCTTTTCTGCTTTGAGGTATCAGGGCTCTGTGCCTCCACCCAATAAGTCCCCATTAAACCACCTTGAGGCATGGCTCGGTGATGCTGCTGTCCAGTGCTGTCCTGTCTCCCAGCCAAGGATCCAGCACACTTGTCCCTCCCAAGTTAGGCTGGACCTCAGTCCCTCTCAGGCATCTTCCACCCATAAGGTCATAACTTGCACCCCTTCTTTACTGGTTCTCTTGTTACATGGCTCTTTCCTCCTTACTTGGACCTTTAGGGTTGGTTATTCTAGAGGCTCTGATTAAAAAGTGTGCCCCTCCGCCGTGCGTTGGTGGCACACGCCTTTAATCCCAGCACTCGGGAGGCAGAGGCAGGCGGATCTCTGTGAGTTCGAGGCCAGCGTGGCCAGCAAGTGCCAGGATAGGCTCCAAAGCTACACAGAGAAACCCTGTCTTGAAACCCCCCCCCAAAAAAAATGTGCCCCTCCTTCCCCGATTCTCTCACCCAAAATGTATGCCATATACATAATCAGAACTTTGGGACTCTCAAGATGGGAACATGTGAACTATGCAGGTCCCAAGCACAGCCTTACTGCTTGAAGCTCCCCTTGTAGCATCCTGGAGCATTGGGGGAGGCTAAGCCTCTGTGCCCATCTCTTCCCTCAATGGCAGGCGCTGTGACCCACTCTGCCTAACCCACTGGACCCCAACCCAGCTGAACTTGACCCTTCTTTGAAGCTCTAATGCCGAACTAATGCAGGTCCAGGGAAACCCCTGTCACAATCCCTCACAGTGCTTTGAGTGTGATTCTGCCTTTTGGGGTACAATGGGCTTATGGGAGGCAGTCGTGGGGTTTGTGGATGAATACACCATTCAGAATTCCCTGCTGCATCCTTTGCTCCCTGTGTCAGGGCTCTCAGCTTTCTGAAGATCTTGGGCCAGTGACACAGCTGAATCCAGCCACTTCTGTCTCTCTGGGCTGTTGCTCTCATTGAGCCCCAAACTGAAGGGACTGGAGCTGTTTGTGAACCCAGCCCTGGTAGCTGGTGCCAGGGCGGGAAGTGCACTCTGGGCGATGGATGGAAGCCTCTTCCTGTGTTCCTGTCCTGGTGCCCTGCTGTCCCTAGCAGGCTGCTCAGGGCATAGCAGCTGCTGAGAAACCCGACCCAGACCATATGGCAGTGACCTGGCCACTGGGATGTGTGCCATCCGTCCTGGATGACAGAACTCCTAGACATCTGCCGGGCCACAAAGCCCCCTGGCTCTGGCTAGATCATCATGGCCGGCTCTCACCTCAATGTAGCCTTCCCCTCTGGGGTTTGTTGTGGTACAAACGTGCTAACTACATGTTGTGTGTGCTGCATGACCCTGCATGAGGTAGGAAATCAAGGCCACATCCTGGAGACCCGGGAGAGTCAGGGCTCCCCAACAAGAAGTCTAAGAAGCCTGGTAGCCACTGGGCCAAACTCCAGCCTAGCCCATTGTACCAGGAGGCCTTAGGTCATGCTGTAGTACCTGGCACCCCAAGTCCCAGGTGATTTTGAGGGCTCCCTGGGACATTGCTCTTGCTCCTCAAGTGGCCAGGTGGGCACCAAATGGGATGGAACCTGGGTTTGGGACCTCTCGGCTGGTCTGGTGGGCTTTCTGTGTCTTGCAGGGTTCTTTGGGGCTCATGGCCTGAGTCAGCTGCCTGTGTCCCCAACCTGCCACTCGAGCCATCAGCCAGTCCCACAGAAGTCCCTTTTTTTGTTTCTTTGTTTTTTGTATTTCGAGACAGGGTTTTTCTGTGGCTTTGGAGCCTGTCCTGGAACTAGCTCTTGTAGACTAGGCTGGTCTGGAACTCACAGAGATCACCTGCCTCTGCCTCCTGAGTGCTGAGATTAAAGGCATGCACCACCAAGGCCCAGCCTTGTGGAAGTCCCTTTCTACCTCCAATTTTGCATTTAGTTCAGGCCAGCAGCAGAACTGGCTGGCCTGTCTCCCAGGCCTTTCCATCTGTGGGGACCTGCCATGCCCATGTGTCAGCTGTTGTGAGTGCAGGCTACCTGCCCAAGGGCCCATGTCCCACTCTGGGATCCCTGATGGGTGTCATTTCACCTGACGGACCCTGATAGATCCATCCGTGGTCCTATCCATCCGCGGTCCTATCCATCCGCTGATACTCTGTCACCAGCTTAAACACTGGCCTGTGCATCTGCTTGGTTTCAGAGACCAGCTGTTCTCATGTAGACCCATCCTGTTCCTGGGCACCCTGGGTGGTCCCTGGGGAAACTGGCATGGCTAGGTGGAGACCAGGGACAGGGTTCAGGGCACCTCACTGTAAGACCTGGCCTAGTCAACAGTGCCCTGGGCGCCTGGCCTGAGACTAGCAAGCGTCCCTAGTCTGAGTCAGCGCACACGGGAAGTGGGTTAAAGACGGCCTCACCACGGCTCAATCCTGCCACCTCCTCTGGTAACGTGGAGCTGCAGCCATGCATCTGCCATGGCCAGGGTGGGCAGTCCTTCTGTTTTCATGTATGCTTCCCGCCAGAAGAAGAGAGTTGAGGTCAGGGAGGAGGCTAGGAGGGGGTGGTTCTGGTGGCTGCCACTAAGGCAGGTTAAATGTTACCTGCTGAGAGCCGCTATGGTTGCTCTTCCACAGAACATGGTGATGAGCTTCCGAGTGTCGGACCTGCAGATGCTGCTGGGCTTCGTGGGCCGCAGCAAAAGTGGGCTGAAGCATGAGCTGGTGACCAGGGCCTTGCAGCTGGTGCAGTTTGACTGCAGCCCCGAGCTCTTCAAGAAGATCAAAGAGCTGTACGAGACACGCTATGCCAAGAAGAGTGTGGAGCCCAGCCCACAGGTGCCACGGCCCCTGGACCCCCTGGCTCTGCACTCCATGCCCAGGACTCCCCTGTCAGGGCCCACCGTGGACTACCCCGTGATGTACGGGAAGTACTTGAATGGACTGGGACGCCTGCCCACTAAGGCCCTTAAGCCGGAGGTGCGCCTGGTGAAGCTGCCTTTCTTCAACATGCTGGACGAGTTGCTGAAGCCCACCGAGCTGGGTGAGTGGTGGGTATCGGCTGGGTACCCTCGCAGTAGGCTCAGCCACCCAAACCTAGTTGCTTAAAATACATGCCATAGGGAGGCATGGATAGCTATGATTATACAGAGAAACCCTGTGTCGGAACCCCCACCACCACCACAAAAAAAAAAGGCTGGGCATAGTGGCAAACCCCAGTTATCCCAGCATTTGGTAGGCAGGTACAAAAGGATGAGGAGTTCAAGGTCGTCCTTAGCTATACAGTGAGTTTGAGGCCAGCCCGGGCTACATGACACCCTAGCTCAGAAAAAGAAAACAGATGTAAATGGAGCTAGCTGTGCTCCAGGCTGTCGGGTTATCAGGCAGCATAGACCTTCAGACCCCCATTCTGTTGGGGTGGAGATGGACCCTGCCCTGCATGGTGTAAAGTGGGGTCTGCCCTGAGCTGGCCCCTGGGTTTTTGAGACAGGGTTTCTCTGTGTAGCTTTGGAACCTGTCCTGGCACTCACTCTGTAGACCAGGCTGGTCTCGAACTCACAGAGATCCCCCTGCCTCTGCCTCCTGAGTGCTGGGATTAAAGGCGTGCGCCACCACTGCCCGGCTGCTCCTAGCCTTTTAATGGGCCCACATCTAGGACCTGGGGCTTTCTCAGGTACACAGTGTCCCAAGAGACACTCCCTGTCCCCCATTGTCTCTCCTGTCTGCTTCTGTCTAGAGTACAGAAATTGGGCTCCAATACTTAGCAGGCTCCAAGACGAGCAGTTGCTTCTGTCACCCCCATCTGGTGCTCAGAAGCCTCCCTGCCTGTGGCGTGCTCTCAGGGGACTTCCATTCCACTCCTGCTGTAGGCCATACCCCCTTTGTCCTGGGACTTGGCAGCACTGTGGGGGTTAAATTTGGGCTGCTGCAAGCACCTGAGGAAGGGTGGCACATAGCTGTGGTTCTACCCTGTGGCCTAGTCTGAGGGCTGCTTCTGTGACCCTACTCCCTGACTTGATGCTCCGCCCTCCTTGACACCCATGGCAGACCCTTCTGGCTTGGCCACCTTCCCTTCCTGTCATGCTTCAAATGCTACAACCCTGCCTCCCCCAAGGTCTCCACCGCCCTGGGCAGCTTGGGACCAAGCCGACTGGGTGTCTTCTTGAGGATGACCTGAGTGCCAGGAGATTGGCCTCCCAGCCTCCCAGCCTACATAGCGGGCTTCCTTCCTGCAGAGTAAGCCAGCTCTCACTCTGCCCCACAATGCATCGCTGTGCCCTGAGCCCCCAGGGACCCCGGTCACCTGATCTCCGGGAGTGCATGCTCCCCTGTCTATACCAGCGGCTTGAACAAAGAGGAGTAGCCTGTCTGCCTGCATCCCCACCCGGGCACCCCTTTCCCTGGGTTCCATACCCTGAGGGGCTACTGGATAGGGAGCTCTGATCCTGGGCCTAAGGCTAAGATCCCTCAAGCTCCAAAACCCAGGATTTCACATTCCTGCCCCGCCCTGGCCTGGACCCTCCCCAGCACAAGCCTGTGATAACAATTCACAGTGGCCAGCCCTTTGCCCAGGCCAGAATGAACCCATGCTCCTGTAGAAATCCCCCGGAAAAGCCGACTGCTCAGCCGGCACCCCCAGGCAGACAGAACCCATAAATCACCTGAGCACTCAGGGGGAGGAGGGGAGGAGGGGAGGAGGGCCACAGAGCAGCTGCAGACCAGGGCACACTGACAACCCACTTAAAGAAGGCTGGTGACCAGAGAGGGCAATGGGCTCATGCAAGGACACACAGCAGCCTGAGCTGTCCCCCAGGCTACCCCTGCACCCTTGTCTGCAGGGGCCCTGTGGATTTCTCCCCACTTCCTGGCTAGGCAGGCCCAGGGCTGTGTAGCTGGGGGCTTCTTGGGAGAGGAAGTTTCAGTTGGGGCTCCTGAGACTTATCTGGGCTGAATGAAGCCCTGTGGGAGGAAGGAGTGATAGTGTCTGGACCAGAGGAGGTGGCCAGGGCTGGTGACCTGTGATCCCAGCTGGGTCCCTGGGATGTAAGCCTCTTCAACCCCTGCCACTTCCCCTTGCTGTCCACATGAGTCTGTGCTCCCTGGCTACCAGGGAAGCCTACTGTTGTTACTGTTTTGTTGATTGAGTTTTTAAGGCAGGGCTAGCAGTGTAGCTCAGGCTGGCCTGGAACCAGTGGCTATCAGCCTTCCTAACACAGTCCCTCATCCTGTGGTGACCCCCACAAACTTATTGTGTCGCTACTCACTAGCTGTAATTTTGCTGCTGTTACAAATCTGTGTTTCCCAGTGGTCCTATGTGACCCCTGTGAAAGGGTCAAATGACCCCCAGGTTGAGAACCAGTGCCCTAGCCTCAGCCCTTGCAGAGGTCCCACTCCATGGCACTTGCTGACTGTGGGGAGACCTGTCTGGTTCTGTCTGCCCCAGGCCCTTACATGGGTCACACCTTGGTCTTCCACACTGTGCTTTTGACCCCACAGGCTTTTGGTCGCTGCCTCTGTCCTTAAGGGTGCACCTCTAATGCCCAGCCCTTATGGCATCTCTACGATAGCTCCCTTCCAAAACTGCATGATGTTTTTGTGTGTGCCATGTTTTGAGGCAGAGTCTCAGGTGGCCCAGGCAGGCCCAATTTGTTATGTAGCCAAGACTGGCCTTGAACCTCTCTGATCTACCTGTTTCGACCTCCTCAGTATTTGGCTGACAGGTCTGTGTCCCTGTACCTGGCATCACCCTTGCTCTCTGATACCCAGTTGAGGTCACTGATTTGGAGCAGGCCAGCAGCAAAGGTGGGCGGACAGCCCTTGCTCTATTCCTGCCCACTCCAGTGGCACAGGCTACATCCCCACCCAGTCCCACAGTGGAGCTCAGTGGTACCCTGTGCTTGGTGCTGGTCTCCATGCTGCCCCAACTCAGCAGCCTACATGGCTGGTCAGGGTGCTGCAGGGAACTGGAGTTTATGGCCACTGTGATATATGCAAGCTCACTGTGTTGTCCTATGACAGCTCCCCTGAAGCATGCTTGGCCCCCACCATTTGCCTTGGCCCTCCTAGTGCAACCAGCTAGGCCTGAGTTAAACAACAATCACTATAACCCTGGTGAAGCTGCCTGAGAATAAGACATTGACACAGTGTTTCTTTGGTGTTGAGGGGTACCAGGTTCTGGGTCGCCTTGTGTCTCTACTGGGTCACCAATGCCTACCTCCAGTCCTAGAGTGTACAAGGCTAAGAGGGGCCACGTGAAGGGTCTGGATGTTGTTGTCTTCCATGGCCTTGAGTGCCCTGTCCTGGTTCCTACCTGCCCTATTGGGTCTTCGTGATCACCTGGTGTCTGCCCCACCTCAGGTATGCTGAGGGTGGTGGCTGTGGGTTCCTCAGCACCTGTGCTTGTGCTGTTCAGTCCATGGTGTGGAGCTGTCCACAGCCCATGCTGCAGTGGCCCAGAGAAAGTGAAAGTGGTAGGCAGGGGGCGCAGGGCTGCTGTGTGTGTAGCCCAGGCTGGCCTTGAGCTCACAACCAGTTCTGCTGTTTTTGTTTTGGTTTGTTTTTTCCAGAGAGGGTTTCTCTGTGTAGTCCTGGCTTTCCTGGCACTCACTCTGTAGACCAGGCTGGCCTAGAATTCAACAGAGATCCTCCTGTCTCTGCCTCCCCAGTGCTGGGATTAAAGGTGTAGTTTTATCAGGTTCTCAGGAGGATCCAGGCCAGCTGAGTTATAAAGTGGGGAGAAATGGGTGGGCAGGGTACAGAGGCCCTAAGACAAAGGTAGGCCTGGTTTGTGAGGTTTTAAGAAGAGTTCAATCCCCAATTGGTGCTGCTGAAGAGACTACACTCAGTATTTCAGATGGGTATTGCTCTAGGGTCTGGCTGTTGGACAGGGGGCAGACAGCCATGGCACAGTTACTGGCTTGGAGAATACCCTGTGGTTCATTAGAGCAGCATAGCGTGGGACAAACCTAAGTTGGCTGCTAGAGTGTGGGGCCTGTCCCCCACACCACAGAAGCCTCCCAGGAGGGCAGATGGGTCCCTTACCTCCTGCCTAGCCTCTGCCAGCTCAGGTGTCTGCCATGGCACTGCTGGTCCCTCCCCACTCTCCCTCAGGTGGTTACTCCAGGCTAGACAGATCTGAGTGTGCCCAGGGGTCCCTGAGCTCCAGCTCCTCCCTCAGGCCCTGCAGCTACACAGCAGCAGTCACCCAAGGACCCATGGGCTCTCTACAGGATCCTGGGCTGGACAGGTGTGACTGTCCCCTCATCCAAGCTACTCCACCTCCCAGCTCCGGAACCTGCCTACACTCACTGTGACTGGTACCACAGCCTGTGGTTCAGAAGGTTCCAGGCCAGTCTCACCCAGCATCAGCGCCTCTTGTAAACAGTGTTGTAGGAACTGGGCTGCCAGGGTCCTTCCTCAGCTGGGAGTGCCTGTATCCAGATAGGGAATACCATCTGACAGGGACAGTGGTTGGTCCTGAAGTGCTGGGTAGAACTCAGCCCTACTCCCCACAGCTGTGCCCTTTTGCCTCAGACTGGTCTGGACCTGAGGCTGGGTTTGAATCCAAGACCCTTCTGCTTCAGTCTCTGACATGCTAGGGTGGCTGGTGTGCACTCCCTCAGAGGAGGCTGTGTCATATGTCCAAATGGGCTAGAGCCCTTTGCTGAGGGAGGAACGGGACCTCGTGCACACTGGGCCAGCAGTCTGCCGTGGAGCCATGCTGACTGACGAGACTGCAGATGACGTGATGGCCTGAGGATACAGGCAGCTACCTTTTAGCCTTTGGAACACCCAGCTCCAAAGGGACCCAGAGTGGAAGGTGTGGGGCCAGTGTGTATCCCCTGAATCCTAGGCAGAGGGCTGGCCTCTTGCCCTGTGACTGTGACATGCAGCAGGCGGCCTGACCCATGCGTGTTCAGTCCCACAGAGCACGGAGAAGCTACAGGAGAGCCCATGCATCTTCGCGCTGACACCGAGGCAGGTGGAAATGATCCGCAACTCCAGGTGTGTCCACCACGAACAACTCCCACTATCGTGTGCCCACCTTTGCTGGGACCACATATCATCTGGACCAGGCAGGACAGTGTGAGGCCCCACAGCCTCGTGAGCATGGCTTTCCCTCACCCACCCACTCCATGCTAGCCAGGAGCTCCCCAGCTACATGCACCTGCAGATGTCACCAGGGTCCCATGGGCAAGATGGGTAAGGGTGAACCAGTGAGGGTGCTTAGTGAAGCTCTGACCCTTTGGATGTCCTGGCCTTACAGTCCTGACCATCTCTGCGCCATTTGTCAGGACAGAGGTCAGGCTGGGGTGTGGCCAGACCCTCTCTCTGCACGCCTCCTTCCTACCCTTTCGATGGACAGATTCTTCCTGGAGTGGGTCAGGAGCACTGCTCTCCTGTGTCCATTGGTGATCCTGGGGAGGGCTCTCTGGGTGGTCTGCACTGCCTGCTGACTGCTGCCTTGTGCCCCGCCCACAGAGAGCTGCAGCCTGGAGTGAAAGCCGTGCAGGTGGTGCTGAGGTAGGGGGGCAGCGCCCCGCCCTGCCTCTGCTGTGGCAGGGCACTTCCCTTCCCA